GGCCTTCCTCATTTTTTTCAAGTCTACACAATCAAATAGCCGCATGCAAAGGGTACAGATGTTCAAATAGCCGCATGCAGCACTAGTTCAAATTTTAAAAAGTTCAAATATTACATTCCAACATTGTTGCCTCCTTTCACCGCCCATTGATACTCAATCAGATCTTCCTTCAGCTGCTCGTGAGATGGTCTATGCTGAATTTGTTGATGCATTTGAATAAACTCTTCAAATGTGGTCGGATTCTGGTCCAGAAGTTGGATAGGATCACCCATGTTCTCAAATTCCAGAGCCGCAGCATCAGCGTCACCCTCATCCTCGACGATCATCTTGTGCATGATCACACAACATGTCATTACCTCCCACAAGGTCTCCGGATCCCATTATCTTGCAGGTCCACGAACAACAGCAAAACGGGTATGAAGAACCCTAAATGCCCTCTCCACATCGTTTCTAGCTTCTTCTTGTCTTTGGGCAAAGTGAGCCTTTTTTTGTCCAACTGGGTTTGAGATGGTGCTGACAAAGGTAGACCATGGAGGATAGATACCGTCAACCAGATAGTAGCCCATGTTGTAGTCATGTCCATTGACAGTATAGTGGCAAGGAGGAGCTTTTATTTTAGTTAGCTTCATAAACAATGACGATCATTGCAACACATTGATGTGATTGTGAGACCCGGGCATGCCAAAGAAAGTGTGCCAAATCCAAAGATCTTGTGATGCAACTACTTCAAGAATGATGGTGGGCTTCTTAACATGACCCTGATATTGCCCTTGTAAAGCCTTCGGGCAGTTCTTCCATTTCCAATGCATGGAGTCAAGAGATCCAAGCAAACCTGGCCACCCTCTTGCTTCTGAGATTGCTAAGAGCCTCTCGGTGTCTGCCACACTTGGTTATCTTAGTTACTGAGGTTTCGAACACCTCAACCACGACAATTGCAAACCTGACCATGGCATGTCCGCAATGTGCTCTCAGACATCCGTGGGTACTCGTCCCACAAATCAGCGGCCGTGTCATATGCAAGCATCCAGAGTGTGGTCGTGCACTTCTGGAACCAGAGAAGCCAATCGTTCCCACGGTGTCCTTCTTCAGGATGAAGTAGTCATCGTAGGACCGGACGCCACCATACAAACGATCGAAGACAGTCTTACACATCCGAAAACGCCAGCGAAAATAGTCAGTGAGTAGTGCATCTGGGGCAAAATAGTCGGTCATTAGTGTCAAATGCTCGCGCGCCCTATTGTGGTTGAGCACTCGATGACTCTTGATCGAGCCCTTAAAATTGAGAACATGTTCCTCCGCATGCTCCACGTCTTTAAGAACCGCCTGCATCATCACCGTCTCATCGGAGTAGTCCTCCTCGTCCGACGAGCCGTCGAATGACTCAACATAATGCTCGTATGTGTACTCCAAATCGGAATCCATTGGTAGAAAGAAGAAGGGACAACTGTTTTCAGATCTGGCTATTCATCAAACAGTTGCCGGGCATGGTGAGAATAACAGTAGAGGATGGTACCTGGCGGGATGGTCTAAGAACAGGGGTTGAACGGAGACAGAGAAGAAGCAGCGGGGAGCCTTGCTGGAGCGCTGAGGTGACGGAGACGCAGAGTTCCGACAGGGGTGTGGCGTGGTGGCCGGGGTGGTGGAGTGGCGGCGAAGGCAAGAGAGAAAGAAGGAAGAAGAGAAAATGAAGAGAATGGAGTCATGGGGTCCGGGAAGGGTTTTGGGTGGGCCCGGGGAGTCGGATTCGTACGTTTCAAGTGCCCAGACTCTCGCAAACCTCCCCTACTTTTGTCTTCGGTTTGCGAGAGAAATCGCGTCTGGACCACCCCACGGACCGATACGGGCCCGTATTGATGGCTCACGTGGTCCGGACAACGCGATCTGGACAGTTTGCAGTTCGGTCTTGGAGATTCCCTAGTGGCCGTGTTTAGAACAAGTTACCTAATCCTTAACAGATCTAAGTAATTTTGTCTTACCTTCATTCCAAAATAGATTATAGTCTACCTGGCATGTG